GGAATCATTTTTTCCAGTGCATTTTCTAAGGAATCTTGTTCTAAGGACTCATTTTTTCCAGTCACTTTTTGCCAAGAAGACACAAATAAAAACAGGGTGTGTTTTCAACGCATCCATAAAGTACAGAATAAGTGGGGTAAATCCCATTCATCCCCCTAACCAATAATATCCTTGGGTGAACCCTGCACTATCTGTCATGCGAGTGAATTTCTTTCATTTGCTTCTCAGGAAGGGAAAGAAAAACAGCCTTGCTAACCACGCCATTACAATGAGAACAGAACAAAATAGCAAGCAACCTTATGAAGGAACAGGGACAAATTTTAAAGTAGAATTTATCCAGTTAGCAGCTGGTGGATCTACGGAAAATGAGACACTGTTTGCGGTTTTGTTTGCTCGTAATTAGCGCGCGGGAGCTCCTGAGAGTGATTTTCAGCATCCGCACAAGACCAATCTGCTTTGAGGAGCACTTACTGAGCAGATGGCTTGGCAAGGCAATTCCCCTTAGTCTAATGCAAAGCCTGTGTTATACATGAATCGGGTTGCCAAGGATTTTAAGAATGGATTTGGATGTCTCTATTAAAAACACACAAATCCCCAAGCATCTCCAAACATTACATCAAACCTCAGGACTATATGAACAAGGTCTGAAGAATTTGTTTTCAGACTACCTGGGAATTTCTCACATTATCCATACTGGGTAAGTTCTTCCTTTGAGGAGGGGTGGGTTGTTTTCGTTATGTAATTAAGAAGGCCTAGTAATCATCAGTTTCTCCTGATGCTGATGCAAGGGGAGAGGGGAAGCTAAAGTAGATACTGGCTGTAGGATTTAACTTTCTGAAACTCCCGTCCTTCAAAAACGCAAGTTCCTAGCCCTTATGATTGCAAATACACTCTAAATCACATGGGCAATACCTAGTAAAATGTCAGAAGCCAGAGGACTCAATGAATAGGATTGTCCCTGGTCAGGGGGCAGCTTTGGCACCCTCCTTGTCCCCATAAGTAGAAGAAACAATAAATTATTTTTTAAAAAATTAAAAGGCAGAATAATTTATGCAAAGCTAGAACTGATTGTTTGTCCCTCAACTCCTGGCCCTCTGCAGCTCTAAAGGCCCTTCTTCTTCTTCTTCTTCTTCTTCTTCTTCTTCTTCTTCTTCTTCTTCTCTCTGAGATTTTCCTTCTCCTTTTCCTTTGCTTTAGAAACACACTTGTTGCAGCAAGAACCCCATCATGTGATGGATCCTCAGAAAGATCCATAAAGAAGGCTCTGAAGTAAACCTAAGCACCTTGCACTCTAAGTGCCCCTTCCAGCCAAGTTCTCCCAGCCTGTTCGCAGGAAGGACACCGGTTATAACATGCAGTGTCTTTGACTATCGCCACGTTCACATCTTTGAAAAGCAATAATTTATGTTTTTGCACCTTCTTCTGCGGTATTGAACAGACGGTTTTTCAGAGCTTATTCCTGCTGGATAGCAGGCCAAGCTTAATAGGGTGTGCATTACCTGGCGTACTTCTGGAGAAGTTCAAAACAGTGCTTGTTGGAAATCCTTGGAAAGAACTCCAAAGCAAAGGCCCGCCCTTATTCCCCAGTAGTTTGATTCTTCGTTGAATTCTGAGCTCATTCCTATCAACCTCTCTGACTCATCCGGCCCACGTGTCACTGTCTGGCAACACAGCCCGTTCTGCAGCTGAGGAATTCTGTCGTTCTCATCATTTGGTGGTCACTTCAGGTCCTGTCTCTGGTTATTAACTTTCGGAAAAGTTGGCATTGCATAATACAAATGCTGATGGCTGAGCTGTGGAGGGAAAGTGGAAAGCGTACACTCACTCATCTTATTATCCCTCCTGAGCGAACTTCTCTCCAAACACAGAGATAAAATATTATCCATTACCAGGAGTCTAAATTCTCTGCATTCGAAAAGTCAAAATATTTTGCGGTTGTCAAGATGTAAGGAGGAACCAGGCTTGATTTATGGAAACAGGTTTCCGCAGGCTGTGAAGGAAGATTTTTGCGTGTCTCATTTTGCTCTCTGCAGAGATCTCACACTGGGGATGGTCTTGCACTGGAAGATGAGCTGCCCAGCCCGAGTCTCCTTGGAAGTTAACGAAGCAAAAGTTGCTCATCAAAAGTTAGCACCCAGGTTACAGTCGGGAGAGGTACTCTGACGACCTGGCTGGTCTTCCCCACTATTACTTTTCTATTCAGAGCATCGCCACTATTCTGAACATGCATCCACACATATGAATTGATCTGTGCATTTATGCAAAAGTGGCTTCTTTTGCTTCCTTTCTGGGGGATGCATCCTGTCCTTTTTTGTGCCACTGGGGCCAGCATGGGAGCAGAGAGAGAGAGAGAGAGAGAGAGAGAGAGAGAGAGAGAGAGAGAGAGAGGAGGGCAGGAACTAGTGTGTGAATGGTAGAGCAAGATGGGAGCACTGGTCCTAGCGTGGAAGAGACATTTGGGTTCTGGAATGAAAAGGTTTTGGGGCTGGCGCTGTTGCAAAGGCTTGTGTTCTCTTATGCAGCAGAGAATACTTCATCCCATGTTTGCACAAAGGTTGGAAGGCAAACTTAAGCAGTAAACCTA